AGAATTTCCAGAAACAGGTGGAGTAATTCCAACCAGTACATCTATAACAAAGCTGAAGTGGAAAGGCGGAAGACCACAGTCCTGTTTTACCACGCGACGTGGTGCACTCAGGCGAAATCTTGTTTTATACCCGTACTCGTCCACAATACTCCACCTTTGGTGCCTTCTTTGGGGTTATGAATATTGCCCAATTGCCCAACTCAGCGAACAAACCAACGACCAAATAAATAAAAAAAATCATGTAACCAGCTGTAACACTCTTTTGGTATCTCGCCGCTTTGCCAGCCGAGGGAGGCACGAGGGTCGGGATACTGCCAAGTTGACCAAGTCTAGATAGGGGAAGTCGAGAGTCAGAGATCGGATTCGAGCTCCAACCACTGAGTATCTTGCTACCTGCAGTGTGGTTGTCAGACTGTTCACCAGGACATCGCCACTTTCTTTGAAGAGTGCAGGGTTTAGACTATCAGCGCAAGGAGCCTTGCTGCGCTGCATGATTGACGTTTCACGCTGGATTTCGGTTTTTGACAGGGAGCTGGTGTCGATATTCCGTTCAGGCCCGCCGGGTTCGTCAGGCTGTTACGTTGAAGGAGACCAGGTGCACTGTTCTTCAAAGTGTTTGTTATCGCTCAAGATGACGATTTCGAGTGAATTGGCGTTATCCGTTGAAATTTGTAGCCAAGAGTATGTCCGAACCTCCTATCCAGTAGTCTGTCACGATCGTTGTAAATAACTCACTATTCCCTATAAAGGTGATTCTAAACAGCCGGCCACCACCTGTTTCCACCCTTACAGCTCGCGCTCCCAGTTGCAACTCTGCGCTCGTGGTTTACAACAAAAAGTTTGCTCAACTTAACTCTCAAATGAAGTATGCCAGTCCTCGCCCAGACTAAAGCTGTGTATTCCTTCTCCTACCGTTGTTCAGCGAAATATGTTGGATGAGTGACACGGCAATTTGCCAAGAGAATATTTAAGATCTCTTGCTGAGGCACCACTAAACTCAATGTTGCCGCCAAAATCACAATCACGTCCTGCATAAGTGACACCAATCACATAATCAATCTGGACGAGTCGTTCCACGTCATCTACCGAGTACTCAATAAACTGTTAGTATCGAATCAACGGCATTGCTAGACTACAGCCGAAGTAGTCGCAATACGCTTGCGAAACCGAGTATTGTGCCATCAAAAACGATTCGCGCGATCGCCGAGTCTTCCTTGGTCATGTGATACTATTCGACCGACCAAGTCGCTCAACGGCTCCCTAGGCTCTCATAGCATCTAATTAGATGGGAATTAGGGTGCGCCGACAACCAGTCGTTCCTATTTTCACTTGTTCTAATTTGTCATCTACTTTTAGCTGCTTATTTCGTTATTTACTCCTACTTTAACCATTAGACACATACTGACCTGACGACGAGATCCCAAAAACGATATTCGTCACTGTGTTTCTGTATGCTGATACGATGGATAAATACCGTCTGCAGCATCGATCTGCATTGAGGTTAGTTGAACCAGATAAGCGTACGGCGCAAAGGTGATTGCTCAGTGTGATCCGTTTCAGTGGGATCGCTCATTGGTTAGAGTGCGAATTTACTCATCGAAAGGTCCGTGGTTCGAACCGGACCTCTGCCTCTTGGCTCCCCCTGTCTAGGCTCGGGTAACCTGGCAGTATCCCAGCCCTTGTGCGTCCCTTTCGTGACATGGTAGTTAGTTCTACAGCTGAACGATTTTTCCATTCCAGCAAACCGCTTTCGGCTTTGCGGCTGGGTGCAAATTCCACACCATAGATACCATGAGCTAGTAAATCAGGACCAGTAGCAGAAGAGTGATACGGGGGACATCCGAGCTTGTTCTAGGTCGGTATACGACCGAAGTGGGGTTCTGCGTGTGTTTCAGCGACACAAAATATACCTACAGAGGAAGCAAGCAAGGTTTCAGAAAGAGTTGCCCATTGTCTGATTTTACTGGGAGTGCGAATATTAAAGGCTGCATCGCGAACTAGATCTTTGGGGCTTAGTAACTAGCTATTTTGGTTTAATTTTTCTGGGCGAAAGTTTGGAAACGGATTAGTGGTTAAAGGCCGCCATTGAGAAACTGGACCTTACCGTTATGTGACGTTTTTTGTGTACCTCCGCAACCCATTGGGCTATGCTGGGGGGTGTCCGTGCGACACTTGCAGTCTCTTACACCAGGTTAGTTAATGGCTAGAGGTCTGACCAACAGTCTTGTGGTATTCCAGGTTGGGAGTTGGTACAAGTTTGGTGACTTGTTTTGTAGAAATTGAAGTGCGCTTGCATTTCCCGCCAGACAACGCTGCCTTGCGGTTAGGATTTTGAGCCAAAGGCTTTGGTCAAAGACCCTACTCGTTCTCCTGTCTTTGTGTGGGCGCCCTGGCAACATCCCAGCCCAAGTACAGCCATGAAGTGCGAACACAGATAAAATCATGCCATATCGGCCATCGCATTGTGCCATCAGTTGTGTCGCCTTATTTGCTGCACACGACAGAGAGGATAAGCGAAAACACGGTACTAGTGACGCATCCCTCCTTTCTCCTTCACGTACTTTTTCTTTCCCTTCTCACCCCATTAATAACTTTCTTTGTAGGCCCAGTAGTGAGCACTGATTACTCTGTTCGTCCTGAATCGGTTTTGCAAGGAACATCTGCGCATCATCCGGCACCGACCTCCTCAGATATCTCGAAATCAACCTCCAAGCCTTTACAACCGGTCTATATTGTTGCCATCAATATCCACACTCTGAAGCAAGGAGGACAACAAGCTCCTTCCCTCATACTGGACTCGCTTGGCGCTGTTGTTTGCTGTATATCAGAAACAAGAATTCAAGGTGCAAGCATAGTTATCGAGCTAACCGCCCCATCACTCTCCACTCGCTTCCGGCTGCGCATCTCCGGCAATACAGAGGCTGCTGTGGCTGGGTGTGCAGGGGTTGAACAAATCATCCAGTTGTAGCATCCTTTCGGTGCCAAGCTGCCATGCCAACGCAGGGGGGCACTAGGGCTAGGATACCGCTTGGTTGGTATCGTCTTAAGATATCTCAGTGGCTAGAGAGCGAATTTACTGACCAACCCATGCATTTCGACTTCTGTCTAGGCTTGGGCAACTTGACAGTATCCGAGCCCTCGTGTTTCCTTCAGATGGAATGACGGTTAGGCGCCGAAAGGGTGCTAGGGCTGAGTAATCGTCCAAAGTCCCAGGGCGGAAGAATCCTTGCTTGACTGGATACCCGTTGATGGTCGCCTCTGTGCGGTTCGGCTGGCAACGTCCGTGAAAGCGTTTCACAAGCGAGGTCATCAATGTCTGTTTGTCGTGTTTAGTTGTGACCCAACCGACTGTAGCTCTGACACCATCGAAGAGAAGTCTTATGAAGCCATGACTATCCTGTAGCGCCGAGCTAAAAGCTCGATTTCGTTGTGATTGCCGGAGATATGAATGAACAAGTGGACATGCTTAACGCACCTGGGACTCAATTGGTTGGTCGACATGGATTGAACTTGGCACGTACGGACAATTTCAGCGATCGTTTCAACTGTGCGCTAACTTCAAGTTGTTTCTATGCAGCACGAACATCGGAGGTAACCGAAGTCATCTGGCCACTTCATGTCCTGCAGCGACTTGCCGGCCAAGAACTCAAATCGATCACACTGCCATCACTTATCGATTGCTTAGATCAATATCTGACTGCTGCTCGTTTTGGAACACACTTTTAAGTGCCAATCATGCACTCATCCGTTGTCGCCTCTCCCCTCGTTTTCTAGGGCGGTGTAAGGTGTAGGCAGATAGCTCAATTGAGAGAGTGACGGATCCGGGTGAGACGGATTAATCGGAATAGTCTTCTTGGATCTCTTCCAACGGCTCCACCATCAGGTGGGAATTTTTACTGGGACGAGATCGCTACCTCGGTACAGTGCAGTACGTTACTGCGGTCCACTGGAGCACTGGCCATCATACCAAAAAGTTGCACTACTTGGTTCTCGGAGAAATATCCCATCCGGTCCTAGACTTCGAGTGAAGGTGTGCGTGCAAACCGACTATGAAGTGTGGTGGACACAGAAAGCCAAGGAAATAGAAGAGGCCCAGAAAGCCGGTAATGTCCGAAAGTTATTTCAGTTGATCCGTGCGACCGGGCCCCGGAAACCACCTGCGAGTGAAACCATCAAGGATCGGAAGGGAGTGATCATCTCGAATAAAAAAGAACGCCACAACCGTTAAGCCAAATACTTGGAACAACAATTTTCCTGGTCACCAGCTGGCACCCATCTAGAACCCACAGGTGACGTAGAACATGGACGGTGAACGTGCAACCTTCCACAGCCCCGAAGGTTTATGACTACATATGTCCTCTCAAGCGCCACTGTGCTTCTGTTCCGGATGGCCTCCTACCCGCATTCAAAGATGGGGGCTAAGTCCTCAGTCAGCGCTTGCCTGATCTGTTTGCTTGCATTTGGGAAAAGGAGTCTGTCCCAGGCGATTGGAGAGAGTCGGTGATATGGCCTATTTTCAAAAAGCGGATCGTAGTGACTGTGGCAACCATGGGGATAAGCTTGACTCCGGTCGTAACGAAACTGTTGGCATCACTGGTGTTTCGTCGACCTACACTGGGTCGTGAAACACTGACTCTAGAACAGCAAGCTGAATTCCGGTCTGGTATTATTCATCTGTAACACCCTTTCGGTGCCTAGCTGCTATGCCACCCGATGCAAGCATGGGGGCTTGGATACTGTTAGGTTGCCGAAGCCTAGACAGGGGAAGTCGAGAGGCAGAGGTCGGGTTCGAACTACGGACCTTCCATCGGTCTGGTAAGGATCGCACTCCGTCAGGTGCTATAACAACGCCATATGTACAAACAACCCACGACTTCAATATTCTTGGATTTCCAAGGCGAATTCGACTCTTCTGAGCGATGTGTTCTTCTTGACAAGCATACCCACCAAGAAACGCCCAGGAAGTTCGTGAACATAATATAAACCCTTCGTATTCCCAGACTTCCGGCCGTGTGAGAGTATACAGCGTGCTCTCCAAAAGCTTCCGTACACCTAGTGGTGTCCGTCAGGGATGCTCACTCTCTCCACTCATATTCAAATTTGTTATCGATGAAATAATGCAACTAACGCTGGAATGTCTTCGGAACCCCGGTGTTCAAATAGCCTGTGACGAAAACCTTGTCGATCTGGAATATGCAGACGACATCGTTCTCATCTTCAGAGAAGAGGTGAAGGCGCATGTGTTTTTGGATGAACTCACGAAAGTCATTCCGTCCTTTGAAATGCACTTTGCACACACAAAGTGTAAAGTCATGTTCATGGACATGCAGCTACTGAACACGCCACTTACCATCCAGTAAGTGACACTGAAAGTTGTGGAGTGTTATCTTGGAAATCGTGTTAGTTCTGATTGTAGTGTGACAAATGAGGTCAGTACACGAATCCGCAAGGCTCGGGTCGCTTTTGCTAACTTGAGACATGTATAGCGTCAAAGTAGTGTATCCCTCAATCTCACGGGACTTGCATATCAAGCTACAGTGCGGGCTGTTTTGTTGTATGGCTGTGAAACCTGACCTGTTCGATCAGCGGAACTGCGACGTCTTCAGGTGTTCGACAATCGTTGTCTCAGAACCATGGCTCGCGTGGGTTGATGTCGGTGTATCCGTAACGAGGTAACTAGAAAGCGAGTTTTCGGTTGTGCAATAGTTACTTCCATTAAAGAATGTGTCCAGCACCAGAAGTTGCATTGTTTTGCGTATACCATAGTTTGCTGTTTTCCATACCCAACTCAGAGTGGCGTACGTAGTGAGGTAGCCAACCCTTGACCTGGCAGAGGGGTATGAAAGAAATCGCGAAACGTCTGGGTGCTGTCGGTGCTACTCTCCTTCCGGGATGGGGACCGCGTGATCCTCACTGCGCCTGGTTGGAGACTCTGCAAGCTATGGCTGCCAACCGATGTCAGTGGAGGTCTTGTCAGTTTCTGTCCAGATTGCCAGTCACGAAGAGACTGGACCTTACCATGGTGTGACGGTCTGCGCATCTCAGCGATCCATTGAGCAATACTTGGGAGTGTCCTCGTGATACTCACAGAGTCTCTCACCAGGTTGGTCAATGGCTAGAGGTCTGACGAACACAGTCTCCTGGCCCTCCAGGTTGGGGGTTGGAACAGTGGCGACTTGTTCCGTAGAAATGGTAGCGCATTCGCATTTCCCGCCAAACACCGCTGCCTTGCGGTTAGGCTTTTGAGCCAGAGGCTTTGGTTGAGAACCTTAATGGTCCTCCTGTCTTTGTATGGACGCCCTGGCAGCATCTCAGCCCCCTTACATCCGTGATGGTGATGAAATGTGCTCGGCACCTCGGAATGATTGCACTAAGCTAGCACTAAATCCCTTACCCATGCAGTTTTATTCTTTTTCTCACAATAAGGCTTTGCGGTAAATCTTGTTTCTACGGCAACGGTGCAAGAATGTTGGACACTGATGCTATGCTGATGTTATGCTTATTCCTTTCGTGTGGTGACCTACTGCTTTGTATCTATCCGGTCTTATGGAACGCGTGTACCCATTGATTTATCACCTAATGATCCTTCTGTTTACAGAACCCTGCGTTTCAATATCGTTTCGGATTCTGCAATAAAACAGATGGTAGTTCGTTTCTGTCCGATCATATTTTTATCTTTCTACAGGAATTCGTGCCAATAGCAGAAAGTGCGATTGTAGGCGCACCAGATTGGTTTCTTTCCGGGGCAATTACAACGAGCAACTCACATTTGCGCGGGGATGTTCGATCTGCTCTCGTGGCCTTCTCCTCCAAACCCTACGTTCATATATTTTTGGTCAAAGTCAGGTCCGCAGAACAGCATGACGTCAGCTCAGTAGTCTACGTAGGTCAGATTCAAGCACACCACGAACGTATTTCAGGCTTGTCCTTTTGCGAATCCGTGAATTTTTCATCTTCATCGGATATTCAGATGTTCTCTTGTGGACAGGACGGACTTGTTCGACATTGGAGCTATCACAGTCATGAGTGGTTGCTCACCAAAGAATTGAATATTCGTTCATTCAATGAATCGCTGCTTCCCACATGCCTGGATACAATTGTGATCGCTGACCAAATTCTCGCTTTAGTTGGGACAAACAAAGGAACATTGCTTGTTTGGGCTGTGTTTGCACTATCCACTGAACCCGTCTGCTTGACAAAGAAATTCGAAAATGATTCAGCGACAACTTGTGCTTGGGAACCGTGCAACTTGTCGGGTTGCATACGCCTGGCGATTGGATACAAAAAGGGGATCATAGGAGTTTACCTCTATCAACATTCCTCTGTGACCGCAGCGTCTTCCTTGACTCAACTATCTCGTTTCTATGCCCACGAACGGGACATATGTCACGTTGTGTGGAATCCATCTGCACACGGATACTCAGAAGTGGCAGCGTCGGAACCAGAGTTATTATCTACTGGACGGGACCAGATGGTTAAAGTAAGCTTAAATGAATTCCCGGCGTTTCGCTCTTACTGGCTGCCCTTAAAAAAATGCTATTTTGTTTCATGAATAGCCGGCCACGTCAAAAATGATTGTTCGTTTTTATACTCATCATCATCATCATTGTCAGCTGTAATAACCGCTTACTCGTCGTACAGTGGTTGTAGCTGCCGCAGTTTCGTTCACCGATGGTTTGGGGGGGAGGGGTAGGTAGCTGCGCATTGCAGGCGGGAGTTGATAAATTGGTGCATAAATCCAGCACTGTCAGTGGGCTGTCAAGTGGGGGGGAGGGGTTGGAAAAGGAGCTATGCATTGAAGGCAATAGCTTTGATGCACGAGCGCCACTGGGGGCGCTTTCGCCTCAACCTCTCAAGTACAACTTCCCGACTGCGAACAATAAATACTTCTAAAATACAAGCGCCATCTCAGGAGTGATCATCTAAGCGGAGAAGGAATAATAGTATTACCGAATTCGTAGGTTTCGATTCTAGATAGATTTGAATGGTTCATGTTAGCCTGGAGAAATGCCGCTCAGGGAACTGTTGGGTCTTGTCTTAAACGTTGTGTCTTTGAAAGAACAACTTCCAACATTAGAGCAAACGAAGATAAAAAAGGAAGCA